TTGATGATGAGATAAAACAAAATTGAAAAAGTGTAATGTTCCCATCTCACATTCTCAACCAACGGCAATGGCAGCCTCATCCTCCTTCTCCTCCTTCCTCTCCTTTCTTCTCCCACCAAAGCCACAATCGCACCCTCCTTCCCTCGCGCGTTTCTCGCTTCGAAGCCACAAGCTCTGTGCTCAACACCAGGACCACCACTCACCGGAGCTGTCCTCGCACGTTATAATGAACCCTTCTTACGCGCACGCAAACACGCTATTCTTCCGATCTGCGTACAACGTGCAGGTGGTTGTTGACGAGAACGAGCCCGAGGAGAGGCTGCTCAACCGCTTTAGGAGAGAGGTCATGAAAGCTGGAGTCATACAAGAATGCAAGAGGAGACGCTTCTTTGAGAACAAGCAGGAGGAGAAGAAACGCAAGAACCGCGAAGCTGCTAAGCGTAAAAGCAGAAGCAGGTTATTTCCTTCCTTCCTTGTGCTTACACTCTCTTTGCATTTTAATCTCATTGTTCTTAATGAATTAACAATCATGCAGTCATGTGGACTTAAGTCTGAGTTTAGTTAGTAACAATAGTATGCAATTCATCAATCAAGTTACTTCAAATTTTAAAAGAAGTGTTTAACTTAAAAATATATTTTTAGTGGGCTTGCTTTGATGAAATATTTAGAAAATTTTCAAGAAAATGTTTAGAATTTGTTATTCTGAATACTAATATAACAACACATTATACTTTGAGGACCAAAATGGTAATTCTATTATTAATTTTCTGTTTGATATGTTATATGTTGGATTAATGTTATTAAAAGGACAACTAATTACGGATAAACCCGTTTAGTGGCCAGAGTATAATAGGATAGGATAAGATAATTATCCTCTCATGCTTTAATAAATTATTTGGTATGTCGAGTTCTTCTTATCCTATTGTCTATCTTATGTAGTGTGCCTCTTATTTATCGTGTCGGGGGAGCTGAGTTAGAAAGTAACAAGATAAGATAGTCAACCTTCTTCTTCCTGCTAGACTACTCAACCTTCATTTCAACCAGTCTCATCATCACCATCTTTATCATCAATGTCCTCATTGTCATACATATCCACCATTTTCACCATTTCTTTCATTGTCATTACCACCATCAATTTCACAACCTTTGTTGTTGTCGTCACCTCTCCATGGATATTGTCTCCTCTATACATCATCTTTGTCTCATCAACTGCCATTCTTAATAACATAGTTGCTATACTGGCCAACACAAGACGTCTTCCACCATTTTTGTCAAAAATTTTGCAACCACTTCCGCTATTTCCACTATTGTCATCATCATTGTTACCATTATTATCATTTTTATCATCACTATTGCCGTGTCATTTTCATTGCAATAACTACCAATACCTCATCACCGTCACCATTAGTGTCACCACTTAAGTTGTCGACATTGTTACTGCCAACAAATTGTCATAATGACTGCTGTTACTTCCATTATTGTTGCTACCGCTCTCACCATCATCTTCACTACTACCTCTATCTTGTTATATCATTGTCATTATAACCACTACAATCGGTATCATTATCACCACTGTCACCATAACCTTCTGTTGGTACCATCTCATCATTATTACTGTTGTTATCACTACCATAATCATCATCATTGTTACCACCATCACTACAACTACCCCCACTGCAACATAAAATTATTTGGTGTTATCATTGTACACACTAAATATTAGATATGATTAATGTTTATGTTGCTTTTTTCTTATCTTTTTCGATCTTATCTTATCTTATCCTTTTATATCCTTATTACCAAACAAGCCCTTAGTTCATTTCATAATATGACAAAGAGTAGTTAGGATCTAGCTCAGTAAGATAACTGGTTTCAGGGAAGTATCACCTATCGTCATTCTTATGTTTTCTTTGAGTTGAAAGGCTAGGTAACTTAAGTAAGGCTAAGACATAGTTTTGGTCCAGAACCCTGTTTAGTGCACTCACTTTTGCTGGCAATCATGCATTCAGCACCTTTATGACTGTTGTTGGACAAAGCTTAGATGGCTCTAATTTTGAATGCGTTTTAAGTTAATTGAGCAAGATAAAATGAGTCTTTTGATATTCATCCGACGATTCTATATAGATAAATGTGTAAGGAGGATAAGTTCAAGAAGAAAGTTGGGTCAAATAGTGCTTGGTGTGAAAATAGTCTCCTGTTTTGAGTTGTGACAAGTAAAGGTATTTAGACAATATTTTTACATGGGGAGTGCAGATAAGATAATCGTAATGGGATTTTGGTTGCAATTACAATCTAGGTTATAGGATATTTGTATCAAAGTTCCCTGCTTCTCCCGCCTTATTTATCATAAATTGCTAAATTAGACTGTGATAAAAAGGCAGGTCAAAACCATTGACACACGTGGTCCCTTCAGAAAGATTGCTATTTGTCAAAATTAGGTTTCATCTTCTGGTTAGATAGTTGCCTTGAGTAAGATAATTTACTGTTTGTCTTTTCTGCATTATTTTCAGGCGCCCTCAATCAAGATTTCAAGCACAAAACAAGAACGATGTTGCAACAACCAAGAAGGTAGAGGATGATGATAACTGGGATCTTCCAGAAGTAGACGCTCCATATATTTCAACAACATGATCCACTTACATTCTGTACGATTCTTCGCATTTTATTGTGAAAGGCTTTTTACGCATGAGTTCTGTTAAGTCAAATCAATTCCTTGGACGCAGTTAGTGTAATGTTCAATTCACATTTCATTTTAAGTTATGCTATTTATTCATTTGTGCATCAAAATTTTGTTTTGGCTTTGATTTTATGAAATCTGGCCGCAGTCTGTTTTATTCTCCCTTCTTGCATCAATCTAGAGTCCCTTTATGATGTTCAGTTTTACCAGCGAGGCAAAAGTTACTTATCAGATAGGAAGAATATGTAAGAGTTCAATGCGTGGAAAATGTGTGCCAAAAGAAAATTTCTATTCACTGGACACTAAAATTTTCTTCGTCTTGAATTTCCTACTATAGCATCTTCAAAATGAGAGAGATTGGACAAGTTAGAAAAGTCAAAGTTTGCTTTAGTTTGGACTTTGGAGTATATGCATGTCATTCGAATTACTGACAATGATGTTTTTTTTATAGTAGTTAATTTCTCTGCCTTAAGCAATGCTCTTTATCATGCTTGGTTTTCCATCAATTTGAGCTGGATATGTATTTAAGATATTGCGGACCAGAGTTTTTTCCTCTAATGAGTTTACTGGAAATCCTTGACCTCATTGGAATAAGAGTAAATTGTAGGAATAAGCTTAAATAATTATTAAGAGTGTAGTGTTTATTGCATTGGGAGAGGAAGAGTCACGAAGTTACTCTGTTATGTTTTATGGTCATTATAGTGTATTATTTGTAATGCCCATCCTAGCAAACACTATGTCCCTGTCTCAGTTGACAAAGAAAGTCAATTTTGACAATATGAGAGCTCTTCTTGGATCCCAAGACATTTGGGATGTTGTAGCGAATGGCTATGAAGAGTCCGCAAAGATGTAGAGCAGATAGTGGCTCAACTTGCCGCATTAAGAAAATCAAGGATGAAGGATCAATCAGCTTTGTACATACTATATCAAGTTGTTGATGAGTCTGGCTTTAAAAAGATAGTGAATGCTAAATCTTCAAGAGAATCATGGCAGATTCTTGAGAAAGTTTACAAAGGTGATAATCATGTAAAGCAAGTTAGACTTCAAACTCTCAAAGACGAGTTTGAGAGTCTGAGATTGGAGAGTAGATAACGAGTGGCCGAGTATATATCTCGAGTGGAGGCTGTAACGAATCAACTCGGAAGAAATGTAAAGGAGTTGCCTGTCAGTCGTATTGTGGAGAATATTGTGTGTGCAATTTGAGGAGTCTAAGGACTTGGCAATGCTCTCAGTTGAAGGGCTTGCTTACTCTTTGGAGGCACATGAGCAGCGGAGGAGAATGTTGTTTGAGCGACTTGATCAAGTACTTCATGCAAAACTTGACTTGAAGGGAGGTGTTTGAAACACTCGAGGCCGAGGTGATCCTGGAGCTAGAGGTTGTGGCCAAGGTGATCGTGAAGACGGAGATGAACAAATCGGGCAACAAAACTGGAGAGGTAGTAGAAAAGCGAGAGGTCGAGGAGGTCGATCTATTAATTATGGAGTAGAATGTTATAAATGTGGCAAGCATGACCACTATGCGAATGAGTGTAAATAGGCCACTATGCCTAATGTTAGTCCTATAAATTGTAAGGCTTATGAGAAATGAATATATACAAGAAGCATATTCAGAAATATTTAAGTGAGTGTCATTTTCAAGATTGAACTGAAAAACTTAGGCATGAAAACGCAATGTAGGTAGTGCCAAAATATGGTTGTGTTTTTAGAGAGAATAATGTTTTTTTTGCTTGGAAAATAGGCAACTTGTTTTATTCATGGTTAGGATCAATTGTATGAAGTTTGGCGTATTTTTATCTTAACGGAAGAAAAATTGGGAAAAATAGGATCACTATTTCTGAAACAACCTCAAGTCAAGACTTCCAGGATTAGATAAAAGGGAAGGAGATTTAATCACTTCTATTTCACTGAAATGCCAAAGAAAATGGTCTATATATCTGGGGTAAATGTTCCAAATGTAATATTTTCCCTTCTTCGGTTCAACAACTACAAAGTGCTAAAGGAGATGTTTAGCTTTTCACTAAAGTAGTATCTAGCTAGCCTTTCTGAAATTCTTAAAAGCAGTTCATTTTATTAACTTTTTTAATTCTTTGAACTACTTTTTGGTCAAAACCACAATTGTCCTAAGCTGTTTTATTTTATAAGTTGTTTTATATTTAGAGCTTTTCCAAAATAGAAGCAGAAAAAAACCTGTTATGATGCTCCGAAGACATGGACATTAAAGCTAGACTGAGTGATAACATATCAGTTCAGCTAAACTTAAAGATTTGGATGAGGGAAAGCTTTCAAAATAGTTCCTTCTAAAACAATTGAGAACGGTATATGATTCTAAGTATGATTTCTTCTGAAGCACTTCTGCGGCCACCTCAAAGCCATTTTATCCAAAGCATTGTCCCCTGGTGCACGTTTTCTGAAGCGAATCCAATCATATAGAACAATCCTCAGGTCATGAACTTTGCTTTTTAGATCGTCACAACAGTTAGCTTGAATGGTATAAACCTCCTTGAACATATCCTTTTTTAGCTGACAAAACCCACCAAAAGAGCTTGTATTTACTAAATGAATCCGAAAGCCATACGAGTCAGCTATATCTTGCCTTGCTTTTATTGTTGTACACAATGACTCTTCTACGGGATCGTTTGGATAAAGAATCTTGGTCAATTTCCAATAGTTGAAAAATTCGAAGGAAATGGTATTTGCTTTCAAGAAGAATATTCCCTCATCATACAGGTAACTTCCACTTTCTCCATCACTTAACTCACTACATGAAATTGTGAGTTCATCAATTGGATTTAAGTTTATCAATGGACTTCTAAGCCACAGTACATCTGGATCCTGCAAAATTAAAGTCACAATCAATTCAACTAAACTAATAACCATTCATCCATCACTTTTTACATCAAACTTGAAGATTGACAACTCTTTTCCTTGTTGAAATTTATTGAGACTCGAGAAATTATGCGAGTCTCACAAAATGTTAGAAAAGAATAGGCTGATAGCATTGTTCACAAAGCCTTACCGTGAAAATTATGTTGTAACCCAATCGAATCACTTCAAACAAGACATCCTTTCTTGTCCAAGTGAATAACTTATCAGCCGAGGTTGTCATAATGGATTGTGTTTTTGTGGCAAAATGACGCGGAAAGATGGAAGGGTGGATGCAATAGGGGTGCAAGGACCTGCAGTACTCAAAAGCTTGGAGGTCCATGGCTATGATTACTAAGTGATTCACTAACCTTTGAGTCCCTTCACCTGATTTGAAGCTTTGTAGTAAAATTTCAAGGAGAGATCCTGGACTTGCCAATGATTCATCTACCATTGTTAGAATAACAGTTCTGTCTGGCATCGTAGCTCTCCTCAGCGTATCCCCTAATTTTTCATTCTCTGGGTCGTACTGATAGGGAAGTAATAACAAATTAACCCAGAATCCAAAATTATTTTGATGATCTAGTCAGTGTTTGCTTTCATTGATATTGCAGTAATTAATCAGCCTTTCAGGTCCATTCAATTACATATCAATACATTATTAAAGAAGTTTGACTGCTATATAGTGTAAGAACAAAATTATGATGATGTAAAAAAAGTCCACTCACCTATAAAAGAAATTTGAATCCTAATTAGATGAAAATGTTAGTAAAAGTTATAATACTTTGTTAAAAACAGGAATGCATGTATGTGTCTGAATTCAATCAAATCAAATACTTTGTCAATCTTTCATTCTTACTAATATTATTTTTAATTATTCAATTAATATCAAACGTTAAATGTATTTACAATTTATCAATATGAAAATTTCTTTCAATTAAATTATTTGTTATTTATAAAATGAAATCTATTAAATGTTTTATATTTTTATATTTCCATTTAATTTTTTGTTTTGGAAAAATACCTATGAATTAAATTCTTTATACCTTATATGTTTATATTTATAAATAAAATTTGATTATATTACATTCACAATTAATTAGTTTTGTATCATCATTCAATCTGCACACAGACAAAAGATTCTGGAATTAATTAATACAAAGAGACTAAAAAAATCAAATATATCAAATCAAGGGGCGTGCAATAAGAATCCCTAACGACGAAAAGGATAACCATATAATGTTTTTTGGTTATTCTATGGCTTCATACAAAAACAATAAATTTCCCTAGTACGCTGCAACGTTAGTACTTGACTTAAAAACAGAAGACAAAATATACTCGATTTTTTTTCTTAATTTGGATTATATAAATGAGTGTAACTCTGCTACTGTTTCACCTTTAAAATGGTACAATTAAGTGCCTTAAAACAATTTCTTCACACACATAAAACTAATCCACAAATTTTATATAAGAGAAATTAAACATGTATCACCGAAACCAATCACCTATTGCTACCAAACAAAACTCCAATACCTCTACTGATTGGAGGAAACGTTGTGTTAATTTATGTATGTATGATGCTAATTGACAGAAACAAAGCTAAAAGGAATCTACAGAGTGCTTACAGTTGATGAATGCCTGAACAGAAGCATACTTTCATGTGATCTAGGGTAGTGATATAGAAGGAGGCATACCAGCACGATGAAGAAAGCTAAGAGAGAAAGATACACAGAATTTCTCAATCTGGATGCTCTCATCCTTCAAAATGCAAATGGGTAGACCTACTTAATCTTGAAAGTTGATCTCACGTTTATCAAGTGCTGTGAAAAAGAAACCAATGAATGTGTTGAGAGAAGATCCCTTTGCATGAAAAGCCAGAATCAGGGAGATTTGAGAAAATCACATTATACAAATTATATATGCTCAAATGGGTTGACATGTTGAGTGAATTCAATAGGCAAAACAATAAAGAAAAAGTTAAAAATAAATGCTAATAAATATATTTAACTATCCAATTAAACACTTTGTCCGTTTCAGGTTTTGAGAAATCTGATATGCTTTCGAAATTTGGCTTTATTATGGTAACTTTTGTTGCTTAGGTGACCCCATGTGGATGCAATGGATGCATCTTCTTCATCCCCCTAAGAAAAAGGATTACCAAAATCAGGATCTTTTACAGTCATTGCTAGATACACCACCCCCTTTGGTTTGCTTTACATAATAAATAACACATTTCTCTTTCTCACTCACCTCTATCTCTCTATCTATATGTAATACTCCCTCCACTCACCACAATGACCACTTCTTTTTAGTCATTTTAAAAAAATATATACAATTTTATATCAATTCAAAACTATTTTATATATGATGTTATACTATATATACTTTTATATATACTAAGAAGTGGATCACTTAAATATGTTTATATCATTTTGCAATTTTGACTTAAACAATCCACATGAAGTTATAACACCTATTAAATTGATAAAATTCTCATTTTTTATAAACTTATTTATTATTTACAGTGTTTTATGCAAGCTAAAAGGTATAATTGATGACTCTACAAGTAATAACCTTTGAAAGAGAAAAAGGTTTAAAACGTATATAGTACATGTTGATTCTAGTTAAATATTCATTTATGAAATATAACAGCTTTTAATGCAATTAATAATTTATTGAATGCCATTTTATAATTCTCTTTCAGTTTAGTCTTTAGTAACATTGAGTATGATTTACGCTAACTTGTTATCAATAAAAGTAATATTTTAATATGTATTTCACATATATAAAGACTTAAATATGTTTTTAGTTCCTAAACTATTGGCCCGTTTCTGGTTTTTGTCCCTTTTTTAAAATAAGGTACAATTTGGTCCTCATTCTTTTCAAAATTTTGGTTTTAGTCCTCGAAAACTAACACCGTTAAAAAAAATGTGGTAGTTTTCGAGGACTAAAACCAAAGTTTCAAGGACTAAAACTAGAGTTTCGAAAAGAATGAGGACCAAATTGTAACTTATTTTGAAAGAGGGACGAAAACCAGAAACGGTCAATAGTTTAGGGACTAAAAACATATTTAACCCTAATATAAATAACTTTCTTTAATTATAAAAACTGATCGGATTTATATTATTCATAATAAAATATTAATTTTATTGATTATATGCTCTTGTAAACAAAATATCATTCTGCATTCTATTACCTTCCATAAAATCTCACCGTTCTGATTAAAACATGTTTTTAAATAGTTTCCACAATTAGCTAGCATCTATCTATCTATATTACACTACTAACAATATTATTTCTTTTGCTTTTCAATGTTTATTCAACAAGATATAATTGATTTGGAAAAATTCATCATTAATTAAAATATATTTTACCTAAATGAACGAGTCTGGTACCTATCAGTTTCACATATCATACTAATTTAATATTTAATATAAAAAAATATACTATCAAAAGGATAAAAACTAAATGCTTAACATAAGAATAGGTAATTTAATACGAAGGGAGACCATTATTAAACATATATTTTGTTATTACACCCACATCGATAAAGTTTTATTTTCATTTAAACTTTCAATAATTCTACAATTAACTTATGAGGTGTGCTGATGGAACACAAAATAGTTTTCTTATAACTTATTTATAAATTAATATTTGTAATTAAAGTTTTAAAAAGTAATCAAGATACTTAATGAATGTTGTTAATTTAACTCTTATTGTGAAATCGAATGTATCTTGTAAAGTTTTATTTCACTTAGTAAACTTCTCATTATCCGGTATTTCTATCGAAAGGTGGAAAGTCTCTAAAAAATTTTCGCTCAAGTTAGTAGTAATTAGAGAATCTAATCAAATCTGAATTAATACAAAAAGTAAAATCAAAGTATGATTAAAATAATATTTTTATTGATCATGAGTCACAATTATGCAGTTCATGGTTCATAGGCCCAATAACTAGTTTACTTGTAGAAAACTGTACCTGCTTTTGGCTAAGTTATCTAATTTGAGAAGGTCACCGGAAGATACAAAGAGGTACCAAGTGCATTGTAAATATAAGAATTGTGGGTGGTTTATGGGTTTCTTTTATAAAAAGAGGTTTTATTCACAAGTAATATGTGGTTTAATTGATAAGAGATTGTAGTGGTGTATTAAAGGTCACGTCTTCTAATTCTAAGTAGTGTGTCAGGTTTAGGATGGTTCCATGGTTGTTATTTGCAGTTTTGCTTGCTGACAAAAAAAAGGTATTATACTATCTTATTGGAATCAAATTTTTTGATTTGATGATCTTGGAGTTTCCAACTAATTGAAACTGGTTAAGCATGTTGAAATTAGTGGCTTTGGGTTGGTGTTGCTGTCTTGAGTTCTAAATTAGTTGGAGTAAATTCCCTAAGCTTGTTTATGAGTATAATTTAGTTTATAGGTGTTTAATGCCTAAGTTTAGAACATGAAGTGATATGTTTTAACTGCTGGAATGAATGATATTGGGTTGAGTTTTGGATGCAGGGCATTGACTCCACTAACTCTGCGTGACAGAGGTGAGGTGAGTGTGTTTGATTACTAGTTAGTGAGTAATAGAGTCATGGAACAGGAATGGTCTAAGTGCGAAAACTATGGTTTCATGTAGGACCTGGTCTAAGTGCCTATAATATGTTTATGTAGCTCACTGGTGTAGAAGGGTTGGCTAAAGGTAAGGTAAATTGTTTAAAGGGTGAACGGCTACTTAAGTGAAGGGTTTAAGGTTAGATAATGTTTCGGTAAATATTTTTGGGATCAAGAGACTAACCTGCTGACGTGTCTTTTCCGTTTCCAAGCACCTGGATCGTCTGCCTTTCTAATCCTAAACCGCTAGAGTCACCTTCAATCATACTGTTGTTGCACGATCGTTATTGGTGTGGCCATCGTCTCTTTTGGACGAGGGGGGGCCAAAAGGAACACCCCCCGCCCAACACGGGTAACAAAACGTTAGGTGTGCTGATTGAAGAGTGTTGGCTCTTAAATTGAATGCTTAGTGAACGGTTTCACTATTTGAAGTATTTGAGAATGGGTGATGGTGAGTTTGAACGTCAATTAGCAAGCAGTCATGAATTGAGCGTTACCTGGCGTTTGGCTCGACCTTATAGTATAAGTTTGTCTCATGGACCTAATCTAGACGGATCCATAAAATAAACCCAACCTCACTCACACAGACTAACATTAATAGACCCCCCAGCCCCCACTCCCCCACCCATTAACTACAAAATCCCCAGACCCCGCCTTGGTCACCTCCCGATCTCATCATACCCCACCACCCCCATGCAATTAGTAGTATCTGTATTTAATTCCAGCCACCCGAATTCACTTGACCCCTCTTATTCACAACCTCCCTCTGCTGCGACTATTGGCCCATAATGAGCTTAAGCGTTGGCCACCCCACATGCCCGCCCCCCGACACCCCCCCCCACATCTTTGACAGCCGCCTTCTAAATCCCGTAAGCCCCCCCGGACCATGGACCTATCTCCCCGCCCCCCCCCCCCCCAACGACCCTGAGTGGATGGACTCCCTACCGACCCCCCTCCCCCCCCCCCCCCCCAACCCTTCTGCCGAACGGTGCTGAATGTTGGACCGTTCGGTCTACCTAGTAGATACATATGCCCACACAAACACCAACGCCGCGCCACCCCGTCTAACCCGCGTTGGCTTTAGCCGTAGTTAGTTAACTTGGACTATGAGTTTGAGGACGTTGTTTTTAGTCGTTGTTCACCTGTGACGGGATTTATGAGTTCTCCTTTTGAACTTTGCCATGAACCGAGCGGTAAATGATGGGAGTCCTTTTTAGAACTTTTTCTCATTTGATCAGTGACTGATATTATCCAGCTTACCTGTTCTAAGGGAAAATAAAAACTGAATATGAACTGTCAAAAGAATGTGAACCACTAGACTAACCCATTTTATAAGTCGAATAGCCAGGCAGGGGAGACCGCTCGGTTTTTTAAAGATGCTAAAAATGAGAGTGATTGTTCTCAGCTCTTTGTTTTGGGCCTAGGAGTTCCTGGGAGAATTTCCAGTATACGAGAGTGACCGTCGTGGCCCAGGAGTAGTTCTGCGAGAACTTGTAGTAGACGAGAGTGACCGTCCGTTTGGCCCAGGAGTTCCTGGAGAATCTCCCAGTAGACGAGATTGACCGTCCGTGGCCCAAGAGTTCCTAGAGAACTTACCAGTAGGCGAGAGTGACCGTTTGTGGCCCAGGAGTTCCTGAAGAACTTCCCAGTAGACGTTAATGACTGTCCGTGGACCAGGAGTTCCTGTGGAGAAACTCCCAATAGACGAAATTGACCGTCTGTTGGCCCAAAGAGTTCCTGGAGAACTTCCCAGTAGACGAGAGTAACCGTCCGTGGCCCAGGAGTTCCTGAAGAATCTCCTAGTAGACAAGATTTGTGAGGAAGAATGGTTGAATGCCTGAACACTTGACGCCATGGAGGATGAACGGTAAAGGCCGAGTTGCTGAATACATGTGAGGGTTGATGGTCGAGTACTTGTGAGGCCGAATACTTGAATACTTGAGGCACGGAAGGCCGAACAGTAGAGGCCGAGTGGTCGATCACCTGTGAGGCCGGATGGCCAGGCACCTGTGAGGCTGGATGGCCAGGCACCTGTGAGGCCGGATGGCCAGGACCACTGTGAGGGTCGATGGTCGAGCCACCTGTGGGCCAGATGGCCAAGCACCTGAGAGAACGGATGGCCGAGCACCTAAGAGAATGGATGACCGAGCACCATTAGAGACTGGATGGCCGAGCACTTGTGAGGCAGGATGGCCGAGCACCATTAGAGGGCCAGATGGCTAAGCACCTGCAAGGCCGGATGACGAAGTACCTTGAGGCGGATGGCCGAGTACCTTTGAGGCGGAATGACCGAATGTTTGAACACTTGAGGCCATGGAAGGTCGAGCGGTTGAGGACATTCCTTATCAAGCGGTAAGCTCTCGTTTGATCAAATGGCTTGTACATTGGGTCCTATCACCGGATAACCAAGCAAGTAAGATCGCTCGGTCTGGAATCCATATTAAGATATGTCATGGGTGAGTTGTAGGTGCTTTACTGTCCTCCAACTCGGTTGAGGCTTGAATAAGAACCAAGTTTTCATGTATCGCTATGGCGATTTCGATTGCGGAGGCAATGGAGGTGCGGTTGCATCTGATTGCCTGCAGGTTTAGTCGCGATGGGAGGAAAATGTGATTTGTGCGAATTGGTTGTCAGCGCTGTGTTTCCCAATTTGGGGGCTAAGAAACCACCAGAAAAATATTGTGATTTAACTAGGTTATGTACTTTGTATATGAAACTGTATTAGCAAAAGGGTAATGGGTATTGGGTCTGCTGCCGACGAGGGTGATGATGTCGCAGCGGAAGAGCATCGCAGCGTGACTGATTCCTTCGCCGTCAAATTCGTGGCGGACTGCTCGCCAAAAGGGGATTGCCACATTGTAAATGCGGAAATTGTTGGTCAGTGGCGGGGACAAAAACCATATGAAGGAGAGAAGAGATCGGAAGAGTGGAGGTTGTCGCGATTGATATTTTCTTTGAAGAAGATCGATCGGGGTCGTTGCCTTCGGTAGCGTCGAGGTCCTCCGTAGGTTGTCCAAGTCTTTCGGTACAACTCGTATAGATGAAGAGGTTAATCCCGCGTGGAGAGGATGTAGGAGGGCGTTTTTAGAGCGTCGCGCGAAAGAGAAAAGATAAATTCTCTAATGAAGACCCATCCCAATTTGCAAGGGGAGAACTTCATCCTTGGCCCACAATGGCAATTCAAGATAATGGAAAACCAATTATCCTTTCCAAGAGCTTCGCTGCAAAATTTGAGTTCCATCTTAAGCACATGAACTTGTTATATTAAATAGTTGTAATATCTATTATCAATTAAATAGTTGTTCATATGAAATACTCATATATCAAAAGTACTTATCTTTTGATGAAAGTTTACGTTAAAGATGATGATTCATGTGTGTAGCGCTTGATGAGAATTCTTGTTGTTGATCAGAAACATTTTTAATAGAGTAGTAGCGATTGTCGGAGACCGAGCGCAGTCCTGGTTCCTTATGGTTCAGTGGGATGCCCCCGACCCCACGGTGAGCGCCAAAATGTTTCGGTAAATATTTTCGGGACGAGAGACTAACATGCTGACATGTCTTTCCCGCTTCCGAGCACTGGATTGTTTGCCTTCTCTCACCCTAAATCGCTCGGTCACTTCAATCTACTATTGTTGCCTGATCGGTATTGGTGGGGACGGATCGGTCTCCTTCTGACGAGAGGGAAGGGGTACCTGTAAAAGGCACTATGACGCACAAGTTAGGCCGTGTGATTTGTTGTGATTTGAAGAGTGTGGCTCTAATTGGAATGCTTAGGAACGATTAGTCACTATTTGAGTTATTGAGAATGGGTTTAGTGTGAGTGAAAACGTATTTAGAGTATGATTGAGTGTATCTGGCGTTTGGCTCGACCTTATAGTGATAAGCTGTCTCATGGACCTAATTCTAGCATGGATCCAATAAAATAAAAACAGGGACTAAATATAAACAGACGTACCAAAAAATCTGGTTGGTTGTTTATAACCTGCTTATCAGTTATCTTTAATTAGATATTCTTTGATTTTATCATTTGTTGGACTATTGGCCCAATAATAACTTAAGCGTTGGCCCAATTGCGGCCCAATCTTTGACCCGGTTAACCGTAGCAGATGGACCCAACAGCCCTGAGTGGATGGACCGAACGGTGCTGAATGCTGACTGTTCGGTCTACCCTAGGTACGATACAGATAACAACAATAGTAAAAGGGCTCTATGAACAGTAAGAAATTACGTCAATTTAAGCGAAAGTTTAGAGGTTGGCCTACAACATTAAAGTACTCATTTTGGCAATTGTTAGTGGTTTAGTTAAATGGGCAATTCAGTCTAGAGGTTTCAACTTTAGGTCTGATTAGAAAAATAGTTTTAGTTGGGTCCTTTACAGTAGGGTTTTAGTGGTTACTCGACATTGTCAAATTGTCCAAGATTGGCTTCAATAGATGGTCACATTTTGCAGAATTAAGTTACTTAACTTAACTTCATAGGTTTGTTCAAAATAGTCCTAATTGTTAGTAATCTAAAGGTAGTCGTGCAGTTTGAAAATGTTCATTTCATTGTGGATGAATTAGAGAAAATTTGTATTCTTTCAGAGGTTGTTTATATAACATTAGAACTACATAGTTAGTATTAGGGTAAACTCAAATGTGATAGATTTAATTGCCTTGTTTATTTCTTGATGAGTTTTGTCAGTTTTGGGTGGTCAGTAGATTAATATAGTGGTTATTAGACAATAATAAAGAATAAATGATGTCTTAATGGTAGAATTTATGGTTTTATAGGTGAAAAGCCAATATGTAAGTCTATAAATTGTAAGTGTCTTATTGACACATAGTGTGGAAAACACTATAAGTATATTCAGAAATATCTAAGTGAGTGTCATTTGTTAATAAATTGGCATCAGAGCTGAGAAAGTCTGAGTGTCCAAGTGAGAAAGAGATAGTGAGAGAAAGATGATCAGCCTAGCAAAATGTGTTGTATCTGTCTCCAGTTGACAAAGAAAGACAACTTTGACAATTTAAGTGTGCAGATGAGATCTCTTATAGGATTCCAAGATGTGTGTCGGATGTTGTTGTGAATGGCGATGAAGAGCCCGTGGTAGATGTAGAGCAGATAATGGCACAAGTTTCTGCATTAAAAAAATCACTGGGGAAGGATCAATCAACCTTATACATATTGTATTGAGCTGTTATTGAATCTGGCTTTGAGAAGATAGTGAATGTTAAATCTTCAAGAGAAACATGACATATTCTTGGGAAAGTTTACAAAGGCGATAACCTTGTAAAGCAAATTATACTTCAAACTCTCAAAGGTGGTTTGAGAGTATAACTTCTCCCATTATCTTAGGGATGGGTCATTCTTTTATAGCTTTTATCTTCTCAGGATCAACATTCACTCCCTCTTTCCCAACCTTGAATCCAGAAAAATAACTTTATCTTAACAAAAAGTGCATATCAAAGTTGACAAAAAGATGATGTTCCCTAAGAAGAATAAAAACGTACCTAAGATCGTCAAGATGTTTATGAAGACCTTTACTATAGATTAAGATGTCATCAAAGTAGACCACAATCAACCTCCCTATGCATTTTCTTAGGACATGGTTCATTAACCTTGAAGGTGTTAGACGCATTGGTCAAACCAAATGACATGACTAACCATTAAAATGATTAACTAATATATTTAGTTATTATATATATATATATATATATAGGTATATATTAATATATAAAACACAAATTATATCAGTGTAAATTAATAAATAAATTATAGTCAATATTAAATTATATATTATATAATTTATTTAATAACATAATAATAAATATGATATAAAAATATTAAAAATTATAATATATTACACTATCTATTAAAATATATAATTTTATATTTGTACATAAATGATATTCTTTATAAAAGTTAACTAAAGTCTGTACAGGTTCAAACTCACATGAACTCGCTAACAATTAACCCACTTAAGATGAGACTTTGGGGTAAACTTGGTTTGGATCCATATAAGGGAGGACTCGATAAAAAAGATGCCTTTTTTCCAGATGGGTTAGGATGACCCTCGGTCGATGGGTCAATTTGTACTTGTAGGAGGCTGGGATTGAGTCTTGTTTAAACAATTTACAGTTTTAATTTTCTATATGATATCAAACCTAAGTCAAGCGTTCATGTTCGTTCAATGGAAAAAAAAACAGAGAAAAGAAACAAAAAAATAAGTCCATGATAATGAATGCCCTAAATGCAAAGAAAGTTTCTTCTTTGCACATTCACAATCTCGTCCTTCACATCCAACTTTTTTCCAATTCTAACTTTGCCCTTCTGCCACTTCTCACAATTGAATAAGAATCTTTGACCAAAAATATTCTTTTGTGCATTTTAAATTGTGAACCCTAATTTGAACTCACATCTTCTCCGAGAGACTCCTTAGTTTCTCTTCCCTCGCGCCTCCCTTTCTTGTTTTCTTTTGCGAATGTTCCAGTGTTAGTGCGATAACATAGTGGTAGTGTGGTACTCTTTGTTGGTGGTAGTGTGGTGGTTTTCCTCTCGCATATTCTTCGTGGTTGTTGTTGTATAAAAGGTGACAAAATCACGAACAATATTTCCTGAGGCGTGTATAAAAAGGTCTCTAAAAAGAGTATAAAATAAACCGCGAATTGATTTCTAGAAGAAAAAGAGGAAAAGGATGAAACTAAGGAATAGAAAAGAGATGAGAGAAGATTGATTTTTGATGTGATTTTAGGGATAATAGAGAATGGGCCTCTATTTTATAGGGCTATGAAGTGTGTAGAGGAAAGACTAATATGAATTTTGAACGTTGCAGCACTTAATAAATTTTTGAATGTTGTAGTGAACATTGTAAAGCTACCATTCTTTCGAAATAAAAAATAATTAATATTTTACAAAAATCCCACACTTTTTTTAAAAGAGAGTTGAAACAAAACTCTTCGATCCAAATAGTTCTGATGATTAAACAAACATTAAAAGAAAGATAAGAATTTTTGTCCAAGGGATCATAGGTGTAATGCCCACAAGATTTGGTTATCGCAAGCTATTATGATACCAGCTTAGATTTGAGTAAACTTAATCACACATCTAAACAATGTGATATGAACCAAAGACTATCGTTTGTACGGGTTAGGGTTAATCTAATCACAATACACCCTCAATCTTCTTGTATTATCGGTGGTGTTTGAGCTTACGTAGGCAAGCATGTGCACGATTTATTCATGAGTGCCTCTATGGAGATCATGCCAAGATTCATGCCAATAATTGTTTTGAAATTCTATGTAGAGTGGGCACCAATCGACACTCATATAAGGTGATTGATGTGAAGTGTTATGCTGCAAATCATACACCAGCCAAAGAGATATGAAAAAAGCATTTAAAACT